CGTTTTTTTGTTACCATTTTCTTGTATTGTGTGTTGACCACTGCTACCAACTGCTAAACACTGACCACTAAATAAAATTTTTCTATTGACTCTTCCATTACAGTTGAAAACTTCACCAATGTAATGATGACTAGTGAAAAAAAACAAACAAATATTACTTTCTTTGCAAAATGAACAATTTTAATAAATATCTTTGCAATTTTTTGAAAAAAAAAGTTTTTCATCGTGGAATGGTAATAGCGTTTATCCGTCGTTACCGTTGTGCGATGACCATCAACCAAAAAGATTACATCTGTTTGCTTGCTGTCGTTTTGAATTGTCAAAACAACCCACTTCATCAGTTATCATTTTCAATAACAACGTTTCATTTTCTAAACTCTTCTTCTTCGTTACTTGCTCAGAACGATAAATGTAAAAACAAATTGCAAGTACAAGTTACGTTGAAAAAGAAATGGGAAACTGGATAGAAGAAGATGGGAAAAAGAGAAAGAAATAAAAAACAAGAAAAACTTAACAACAAAAAGGTAGACATAGTAAAAAAAAAAAATAAATGTAACACATATATAAATGTATTTTCAGTTTAAAGTCATTTTTTCACTTTTTTTGACTTTACGAACTGTTATTGCTGTTTTTCATACGAAGAACAAGTTACCATTTAAGCATCCGCACTTGTAACGGTAACGTCTAATTTAATTCAAATATCAGTAGCTAAATATCAGTAGAAACTTTACGTATAACGTGACACCGATATACAAAAAAAAAATAAATAAATAAAATAAAATAAACAAAAAAAGAAAAAACTCAAACAATCTCAAGCAAAAATTTTTACAAAACATAAAAAAAAGAACACAAATAAAGTTTAATGTATACAATAAAATGGCTGGCCAAACTAAAAACAGAACATAATCATAAAACTATTTACACGATTAGTCAAGATAAAAAAAGAACTTTATGAGGAAAAAATTCAGAGAATAAACCTGTAACAACAAATCAGTTGGATACCAAAACAGTTTTAGAAGCGATATTCATTTACAACAACTATATACGTTTGTATTTCCCAAGTACTGTCTTACAGTTTGGACAGGTATGTTCAGCATCCTAAAACTAGTGAAAATAATCAGCATAAATCTAACAACAAAAGTATACTTTACTGTTTAAATAAATTAATAACTGTAAAATCTGTCTAATTGTTGCTACTGGTGTTTTTCTTACAAAACTGTGCTGTCCTAATTTAATAATTTTCTCTAATGTATAATCAAAAGTTTCGTTCATTATCATACAGCTTTCAAAAGAATGCTTTGTCACAGTTATGAAATAAATTGGAAATGATAAAGAACAGGTGAAGGCAAAAATGACGTGAGTCTTTTATTAACAAAACTTTGCTGCTTCAATTCTTCTTTCCACTTACACACAGTGCTGCTCAAAGATTATTTACAAAAAATAAGGAAATAAAGAAATTAATAGTTTGATAAGAAAGTGCCGACTGATTATCATAACCACCTGTTTTTGCTACTAAACAAAGAAAAAAAGATATCGAAATAGTTAGCAATAACTAAGAGAAGTGTGGTTGATGATATCAACAGGAAAAAACAAGTACAGCTTTCTTTCGCAAGTTGACAAAATGAAAATGTTTCACTTTTTTGAAGGCTTTTTGTAGCATAAACTCAGAAGCAAAAAAATAAAGCATGAAACCCAAAACAAACATCTGACTAACACTGCGCGGTGACGATAATGAAAAACCGTAACTTCATTTTTTTTCATTTACTCTCAAACCACTTATTCATAGCATTAATCAAAAATGTTCAGATAGTGCGAAGAAATATTCTGTCATCCGACTGGTAAAGCTCGTTTCACTAAACTAATCATACTGACTAAACGCTAATATGCACATTTACTAAAGGCATATCTTTTTTATACCTAGCATATGTTATTAAAGAAAAAAAAAGTAAACATTAAAAATTGTAACCAATTACCTGACAATCTTTGATGCAGAATGGTATAACACAACAACAACAACAGGAGCTGAAAAAAAGCGGTACTGTTAGTGTACAAAGTTTATTTACAAATTTAAATATTTATCAACATCAAGTCTGCTGCAAATAGTACTAAAGAATTTTACTCCAAAGTAACAGGTAATTGAAAAATATTGGTATTTTCTATTAGTTAGAAAAAATTAAATATTTAGTTTTGTTCAAGTATTTTCTTAAAATATAGTAATGCAACAAACGCTTCTCATCTAGATTTTCTGTGGTTGAATAGCAGAAGTGCTCGTCTATGTAACTGTTTCTAAGAATTTCAAAAAAAATTTTCCGAAATATTATACAAACAGAAGATCTAAGAGGCTAATTAAACTTAATCTGTAAATTTTTTTAGAATTTTATTTATCAAATAATGCATAAAAATTAGACAAAATTATTTCTGTCCAGTGGCTAAAAAATCAGCGTGTCGATGATTTCCAATAATTAAATGTATATTATGTATCCATTCTTCATCAGATCTTTATACCCCCGTCAAACAGTAAGGCAGAAAGCGAAGTAGCAGCAGTAGCTGCAACACCAACAATAACCAACAAAGCATAAACTCGTCTTACCCAAGTAAACAAAGTAGTGCACTTAAAAGCCAAGTTAATGATCCGGGGTGTAGACGAACCACAGTGAACACATATTCGTGACAGTTAGGACAATTTGCCATTGTCGGTGAATATCGGTAAACTGTTTCTGCTGGCGTTGGTATACTGGGAATTGAATGATGATTTGGTAACGATTGTGACATCAGCGATCTATCCGCAGAAATACCTGCAATTCTAAAGCTGCAAATTTTGCACAAATATTCTGCTTAGATAAACCTTGAAAAACGTACAAAAAAAGCTTCTTATTTTATCACCTGCAAATTTTTCCTGTTTTCTTGGCATTCAAAAAACATTTATCTGTTAAACGTACAAAATGTTAAGTGTTTTTCCCGTATTTTCTGAGCATTTAAATATTGATTAAAAGTTAAGTTGTTATCTGTTGGTCACTTAGCTTTACCAATACCAAAGAGATATTGAAATAAAACTACTGGCAAAAAATTAAAAAAAAAATATTTTTTGCTATTCAAGAAACGAAAACAAATTCTTTTTGTTGCGAAAATTTGACTACACATTCATAAAAAAATGCAACAGATAAAGGTGTTCACAGAGGAACAATACGTACACACTGACAAACTAAATGGAAATCGCAGAATGCAGACTAATTCATATTGACTACCCCAATCACAGGTAAAAATAATAAAAGCAATAAGAGGAAAAAAAGTAAACTTTCAAACGACGACATTGACAACGACAACGAAACAAGGAGGAACAAGTAGCTGTGGATAGCAATAACAGCTGGACATATCTGAGCCAAAAAAAAGAAAGAAACTACAATGATAAACGAAAACTAAAAAACCTTCATTAGAATCAGCTGCTTGAACATTTAGTTGTTGTTGTGGTTGTTGTTTTTCTTCTTGTTGTTGTTGTTGTTTTTCTTGTTGCTGCTGCTGCTGTTGTTGATGATAGTGGTGTTTAAGTTGTTGGTGTTGGGTAGATTGTGATGGAGACGATAAATACTGTGATACTGGTAACGAATAGCATGGCACTAATTTGTTCCGATTGTTCTCAGTGCTTCGAAAATCTGTTAAGGAATGCATACATACACAAACACAAGAAAAAATTAGCGGATAAATACTACGATGACGAAGAAAATTGTGTGCAGAAAAAAAAAGTTACTTTTTACATGTTCTAAAGTCTGATTTTTTATTCAAATTTTATTTATTGAATTTTTTTTGTTTCCGGTTGTATTGAAAACGGTTTTAAAAATGGATAGATGAAAAGGAAGAGAAACTAAAAGAAGCTGAAAAGCAGGAATAAAAAGATGGAAAAAATAAAAGCATTTTAACAAAAAAAGCAACTTTTCCTAGTCTTCTTGGTGAGTTTTTAGATCAGACTACTAAGTTAAATATTTCTACGCTTAATGTATAATTCTTTTTGTTTTTGTTTTGCTTCTTCGTCCTTTTTACTTCCTAATATACACACCGTCTCCTAATGGCAGCACTGAATACATCGCTTTGGTCAACCGAAAAACAGCAACTGTCGTGCCAGCACCAACAGCAATTTCCTCTTCACTGATATGATGACTGTAGCAAAGAGAACAGCTTCTGATGAACGAACGGCAGTGATGGTGGTAATGGCGACGTTAACGTTTATGGTGCAGCTTCCAGAAAAAATGAAACTTCTATGCAGTGAATGTACAGTAAATTTTAAAACTGTCTTTTGACAACGAACTTATCTGCAAAAGCTTTTCTATATCCACCGTCATTTTTCTTCTTCCAGTTATATGCCAAGGAACCGATAAGTACAGAAAAATAAAAAAACAAGAAATCGTCTTAACAATTTGCAAAGTATTTTTTTACGCAATAAATTATCTCGATTGTGGTTTGTTACTTGGTGATTCGTTTTAAAATTTAAAAAAATGCTAAAAATTAGACAGCAGCATCTTTAAGAGGCATATAATATACAGTTTTACAATAAAACATTTGTTTCAACATTAAAGTTACTTGTTTTTAATTGATAATTCAATATGTATAAATTATAAGCATCTTTTCTGAAGTCTTGAAAATTTAGTTGTCATTTGCTTTCTGTAACTGGTTCTTCACTGACTGCAATTTGAGAAAATGAATACAAGGTATTAATGCGTAATGGTAAAAGTTATTCGTAACTTAGACGACAGTAACACTTCTGTCCTGCTTTTTAAAATTCAATCAGTTTTTCTTTTTTTTTTTTACTTATATCAATTTATCGTTTCCTGATATCATTAATCGTTGAATATAACTATGTTTTGTAACTTTTTACTCAAAATGCAGTCCAGTTTACGTACACCAGTGTTGGTTGCTTATTAAAATTTTGGCTGCAGTGACTGTTGGGCAAAAGAACCATTCAGCTGCCAAATTAGCCGTGATTTTCTGCGAAAAGACTGCAGCCAAAAAAAAAGTAGAACACCATTGTATTTGACACTGAAACGCTGCAACAGCCCCTCTTCCAAGAGCTGTTATTCTGTAAAGCGCTGCTACCCGGATTTATACCGTCAAAATACTAACCTTATGTTATGCAATGTTTATATAAGTATATAAAATGATTCTTTTAATACACAGCATAAATGTCCTTTTATCAAAGCTAACAAGAGAAGACCGGCTTATCTTAACCGCCAGTAATTAAAGCCATTTGTTGATCAATTAGTGCAAGTATTGTTAGCGATTAGAGATAAAGTTTTATCTTTGTAGTTAATCGGTTGATCTCCATAGAATTGTTTGCCATAATTATGTAGTTCTTTCTCTTTCGTTCTCTTAACATAGTTTTTTTTTGTCAAACCTCAATTTTATCGCCAAAATTCTTCTTTAACTCAAATCACTACCCACTGCAGTTTTAAGGTTTCCCGCTGCTCTTCAGTTGTTTATTGTCTTACCCGCTTCATCTTCCAGTCTAGCACGTAAAAAAATCTGCAAAGCCTGTTGAACTGTCAAAGTTAGCATTATCTGAAAATGAGGCTAAGAACATTCTTTCATTGCTTTCCTAGATAGAGTGCTGATTATGTACACTAAAATACACTATCATCAAAAAACAAAACAAAAAGAAAAAAGAGCAAATACAATCTCAAAATTTCATGACTTTGTAACATTCAAACTTTGTTACAGCGGGTATTTTAGGCAATTATTCGATGTAAAAAAACTTGATAAAACTAGTTTGAGAATATTAGGTGATAAAATTACTATAGACAAGAAAAAAATATTTATTTAACTGATAGGGGAGACAATACTACCTCCCTCTTTCTTTTTTCTTTTCTCCACTCCTTCTCTCTTCTCCCCGTATTTACTCACTTTCGTCCTCGTAAGATTTGCCTCAGTCATCGTTCAGTTTGTTCAGTGTGAAAAAAAAGTCACCGGCACATCTGCACTTCGTTATGAAGTTTTTTTTCTTTTTGATCTTTTGGTCAATTCTAAAGATTTTCAAAAACATCAAAAAGGCATAAGCGTTAGTTTTTTTTTTTTTTTT